AAATGCTGTTTTGCATTCCTCTTCCATCCGCCGCCATCGCCGCCATCGTCGTCACGGCCCAAGGTACGTCTCCTCGCTCGTTCTTTTCCGCGCGACGCCTCCGTCGTGTTGTGTGTGGTGTGTGTGTGTGTGCGGTGTGTGTGTCTGTGTGTTGTGGGCAGCGCGTACCGGAGCGGCGAAGAGGCGAAGCATGCTGGCGGTCGGCGGTTACAGTGTTGGACTTCAAGAGCGACACACACGCCAATGCCCCGCACGAACACGACGCACAACCCAGATCCGTTCCGCAGTGCTTCACCGCCACCATTGTGTTGATCATTGCCGTACCAACACAAAATACACAACACCACTTTCGTTCTCCTATATCCTGCACAAGAAGAGCTCGTGAGCACACCACAGCAGAACAACGTTGAAAGAGCGAAAGCGAAGCGTGCACGAAACAAGAGCGAAGGCGACATCGTACCACCACAGGAGGCGGCCGAGAAAGCGGTTGGTGGCGCAGTCCCACTCTACTGGCGGCTGGCGGGGCGGCAGTGCGGCTTGTGGGTGCGCCAGTGCTGCTTTTGGTGCTCCCGCGTGCAATAGGCCACCTGCTTGCAGGCTCCGCACACGGGGAAGTCGCCCCGACGCGCCTCCTTCGCCTCGCACAGGCCGCACTTGGCCAACTGCGCGCCTGCTCGTGCGCGGTGTGCCATCACAGATTAACCCACACGACACATGCATGACACACGACACGCGCGCGCACATGACACGCATCACACGACACGCGCACAGCACACGGTTGCTTACCGTGTTCGGCGGAGGCGAGTTCCTCCTCGCGGAGGGCGAGGCTGGCGAAGGAGATGCCGAGCCGATCGAGTTCGTCGGGGACCTTCTGCTTGAGGCCCTGCATGGCATAGCTCGCGTTCTCGAGCAGGTGGGCGTTGTTCTCGTCCATCTCCAGCTTTTCGTACCGCCGCAACACCTGCACCCAACGCGCACACGACGCGACACGACACGACACGACACGACACGACACGACACGACACGACACGACACGACACGACACGACACGACACGACACGACACGTGATAAGACTCGAGGTGCACCAACGACAAAAGGGGAGAGTGGGCGAACCTCGAGCAGACGAGGGCTTTGGCAGAGGAGGCGCGCGCTCTCCACGGTCTCCACGAAGTTGGCGATCACGGCCAGCGCATTGACCTGGCAATGACAAGGAAAAAAACGAAAGAAAATCCAATAGAAATAAAAGAAAGAAAAAAAAGTAAGTTAGGGTAGAAACGG